ATAGCTTTTGTGGGTATTTAAAGTGCTTCATCTGATTCAAAAACTTTTCCCATTCAAAGAGTTCTCTTTGAATTACAACAATTTACAATATGCAGTCATTTTTGCTGATATTTTCATTGTCATTTACGGTCTTTCTGAAACTTTCCTTGTGGGAAATTTTAACAGAAAAACTCTGTCTGTTGGAGTTTCATAACAGATAGAATAGATATTTTGTAAAATCTTACGTTTTTTGTTTATATTATATAATTAACATTAACCTATCCAAAGGCAATTTAAACTGTAAATAATTTGATTTTCGATCAGATAGGCTGTTCATATGATTAAACAAAGGTACCGTTATCATTTATTGATAATTAACTAACTTTTTCAGGAAAGCTAACATGAATGAGCAGCGTTGAGCTTTTTTTCAGCACAGCGAAATGTTTTTAGGAATACATGTCAAATAAATAAATATATTGTTTTAGAGTGCGTCCTTTTCACCAAAATTAATGGGTCATGGGTCATCAGCCTATTAATGTCCCCACTGCTGGGGCACAGGCCTTCCTTATGAATGGAATAGGGAGATTGGGCCATGCGGATTGGTGGGTGCTAACGACTGCAAATGCAGCCGGGAGCCAACGGCTTAACGTGCCTTCCGAAGCACGGAGGAACTCGAGATATTAGATTTTTGGTCACCCATCCAATGACCGGCCACTGCGAAAGTTGATTAACTTCAACGATCGCAGCCGAACCACTTGGGCCATCGAGCTCTTCATGAAGAGCAAAATTAATGTTTCCATTTTATTAAAGGTAAAGGTTCATATTTGTATGAAGGGTGGTATAGTATCTCCGGCAGACATCAGACAGACAGAATTTTTATGAGATGTAATGCACGTACTTGTAAATCGTTTGACAAAAAATTTAACTTTTTTATCACCGTTTCTTTTAAAATAAATATTATAATGTAAAATTATCTACTATTACTATCTAAAGAGCTCGATGGCGCGTGTGGTTAGCGCGTTTGGCTGCGGTTGTTGAAGTTAAGCAACTTTCGCAGTGGTCGGTCATTGGATGGGTGACCAAAAATCCTCTATCTAGAGTTCCTACGTGCTTGGGAAGGCACGTTAAGCCGTTGGTCCCGGCTGCATCTGCAGTCGTTATCATCCACCAAACCGCACTGGGCCCATGTTGTGGATCATGGCCCAGTCTCCCTTTTCCATCCATAGGGAAGACCTGTGCCCCAGCAGTGGGGGCATTAATAGGCTGATGATGATGAAAATTATCTAATTATTGATTAACAAAGTTTTTTTTTGCTGCCAAAGCATCAAATAATGCAGTGATAACTATTTTGTTCATCTGTCATCACATTATTAGGTCTTTTGTAGATATTTTAAGATGTTTTTTTTATAGATAGGCCCGACAAATGACTCCCACCTGATGTTAAGTGAAGGTGAAGTCCAGGCGTGAAGATAGCTGATACAGCAGTTTTATCTGCCACACCAGCCATCCTCACCCTGCCGGCCTGCATGTTGCTTCTTCACCACAATGCCACAAATATCCAATGATCTGGTGAGCTGCAGGGTGAGGGCCATCCGCAAGTGGCTTAAGCAAAAACTTGGCCCGCCATAGGTTCAGATAGTGAATTCAAAATTCAATATCGTTTATTCAGTCTAGGCTGTTACAAGCACTTGTGAATGTCGAAAAGCTACGCCATCGGTTCGCAAATCTGCGGCGGGAGACCTTGTACTGAGAAGAACCGGCAAGAAACTCAGCAAGGGCTGTTTTTTTCTCCCTGTATTATATACAGAGTCGTCAATTTGAAAAATGACTTCAATATGAGATAACTCATGAAGTCACTTTCCATTACAAATGTAAGTGATAAAACAATTATGACTATAAAATAAAAAATATAAAAAACAGATTTAAAAATGAAAAAAGTTTAGGAATGCCGTGTCCTACTGTTTAGGCATAAAAACAAATGTACCATTAAAGTTAAATACAACGATTAATAGTACCCAATGTAGCAAGAGCAGACTCATCTCCGCTGGCAGCACCCGTTCACGAGCATGACGCATGAACCAGCCATCGCTTCGCTCAACCATTTTTTAGGGAACGTTACGACCCGCCTCACACGACACCGCCGAAGAGATTTTTAAGAGAGCATGACTACTCATAAGAATATTGGTATGATAAGGAAAAAGTTGGCCCATCGCTGGATTAGGGAAGTCACACTAATATTATAAAGGCGAGTGTGTGAGTGTATGTTTGTTACTTCTTCACGTCTAAACGGCTCGAGCGATATTAATGAAATTTGATATGGAGTTAGCTGACGCCCTGGATTAACACATAGGCTATGTTTTACTGCGGGAAAATATCCTTAATAAACCGCGGGGCACAGCTAGGGTTACCATTCGTCCCGATTAGTCTGGCCTTTTTGCATTTTGTCCGGACTTTTTGCATTTTGTCTTGACTATTGGCACTTTGTCCGGACTTTTTGCACTTTGTCCGGACTTTTTGCATTTTGTCCGGACTTTTTGCATTTTGTCCGGACTTTGTCCGTCTTTTTAATTTGTCCGGATTTTTTTATTGATGATTATGATGATTACATAATAGCAATAATTTAAAGTTTTCGCGCCGTTTTTGGTCATATCTCAAAAGTTGGTTTTGTCATTTAGCCGCATTTTAGCTTGAGGACGGCAGATTAGAACAAAACAAAGGAGCGCGAAACAATCACGTCTGCACAAATTTTTGGCGCTAAAATCCAGCCGAATACTTTTGCCTAATATTCGGCTATTCGGTCAGGGGCCACGCCGAATATTCGGTACTAGCAAACCAGTGAACCAAATGTTCACCAAAAACTGATTAAAAAAAAATGGTTGCCTGTAAAGTCGGTTTTACGGGCGAAGATTTTACGTGACAACGTCTTTTTCTCGGTAGAATATTTATTGATATGAATATAATTAAATTGCACAATAGGAACAAGGAATTGAATGAAAATAAGAATTGCACAAATTTTAACTATAGAAATATATTTTGTTTACTAAAACATTGTACATGTAAACTTAAACTTAACACGAGAGACTCATCGTAACGTTACCGAGCGTTACACTTTTTCATAAGTGACTCCCAGCCGCAACCTAATTTAAGACGTTGTCACGTCAAAAAAAATGTATTTAATTAATTGAGAACTTCGGAGATTTAGTGTGGTTTCGTTTGAAATTCGTGATTTCTCGAAAACCGAAAGTGCTTCGAAAGTGCTACGTTACTCAAATCCGGTTTGTAGTCTTATCAGACTATTCTTAACTTATAACTTAAATATTCTCTTTATCTATCTCTGACGGTTTGGCCGCTGAAACAGTACCACAGACGGACGGACGGGCTTGTCTAATAGATAAGAGATACTAAACTAAACCGAATATACTATTCGTTGCAAGTCTAATATTATTCTAATCTGTTGCGCACCCTGTAGGTCGCGGAAGCCGGCTCGCGGCCGGTGGCCGGCGGCTTTCTTGCGGAGAGCGCGTCACCTCACGAGCCCGCATTGAGTCATTACTAGCCTCTCGTGAGAACAACGATTTTCCATCACATACGATATCAAGATCTTTATTCGCATAAAATTAAAAAAAAATCGCTTGCAATAAGACAGATAAGAGTGATGGAAAACACTTAATACATAACACCACTTATGTGAATAAATGAAACTGATATGTCATCATCATCATCATCCTATTAATGCCCCCACTGCTGGGGCACAGACTGGGCCATGACCCATAACACGGCCCCAGTGTGGATGATAACGACTACAGATGCAGCCGGGACCAATGGCTTAACGTGCCTTCCGAAGCACGGAGGAGCTCGAGATAGTAATTTTTGTCATTTTTTGGTTGATTGCCCAAAGAAAAAATAAGTGTCCATTATTTTTTGATCATCTAACTGACGGACCAAATAGAATTTCGTTTACTGTACCCCGTCATCACCCCTATTAGATAAGATTTCGGTAGTAAAGTATTATAGAGCAGACTTATCTCTGCTGATAGCACCCGTTCATGAACATAACGCATGAACCAGCCATCGCTTCGCTCAACCATATTTTAGGGAACGTAACGAGCTGTCTTACGCGACACCATCGTCCTAAAGACCTAAACACCTGTCTTTTAAAATAACATTCCAAAAAATATATCAATAAATGATATGTATGTTCATAATCTATACTAATATTATAAAGAGGAAAGATTAGTATGTAAGTATGTTTGTGACGAATTGGCTCAAAAAGTACTGGACCGATTTTAAAAATTCTTTCACCATTTGATTGCTACATTATAACTGATAAATATACATTATAGTGTATTTTCAAAAAAGTTAGAGTTCCGTATCAAAACTTCGATAATGTAACCCAACGTGTGTAAAAAATACCAAAAAATAGACTTATATCGCGTACGTTGCGGAAGTCATTGACAATAGAGCAAAGTGATGTACTAAAGTTTTATAAAGGATAGACCAATATCTACAAAAAAGTCCGCGATACCATATGTCTAACTATTACGTTATGTCACAACTAGAACCGCAGTTTCACCCGCGTTAATTTAAAGAAAAAGGTTAACAGTGAGTCAAACTTAAAATATGGACATAGGCTGTCGTGGACTTTTTTACAAAAATTTAAAGAATTTTTGTATAATTTTAACCGTTTACCCAGCGCACGCAATGGAATCTCACGAATTGAATATTTGTACCCGTTTTTGCAACATTTTTCATCGATGCTCCGCTACTACTGGTCGTAGCCTGGTAATATAAAGCCTCTAGGATTCCTAGATAAATGCACCGTCCAATACAAAAAGATTTTTTCAAATCGGAAAAGCAGAGCAATTTTGCATTCGGTACAACGGGTCCTAAACTATGCAAAGAATTTTTTACTTGGGGAGCGTTCAAGTATTACGTAACGCAATTTTTGAAGATTTTTGACCCCCCCTCCCCCCACTGTAACGCTCCGTAACGTTTTTCTGTACCCCCCCACCCCCCTCTCTAAAGGTTACGTAACACTCAAGTCATCATTTTTACCCTGAAGTCGCAAAAAGTTGTTATAGTTTTTATCCTTCGTATAGTTTTAATTGCCTTATAATAAAACAAGAGATTTTTAATTCGCAACACCTGCGTATTTTGTTTATTTTTTTATAAATTTTTGGCTTTACAAAACACAATTGTTTTTCTCCTTCATTCTCCTAAGTATTTTAGCTTTTTTACTAATAAATTCTTCAAATAAAATAACATATTTATTTTAACCTTTGGCAATGCAATTATAAACAGAAACCCAACTGAAATTAAACATTTTACTCGAAATAAAATCGTATTCTTAACAAAATTAAAAAATAATCAACTATTAACCAAGTATCTAAGTAGGTCTATAAAAACAATTCGATTGAAATTACTGCTCCTCTGTCCACGGGTTTGCTAGCCACTCAGATTCTTTCATCACTGGCACCTGGAGTGCAGACGAAGACGGTTCTGGAATTGTTAAGCCACTTGCATCAACTTCGTCTTCGTCGAGCCAGTCAGCATCCTCAGACGATGTTTCATAACGACGCACAATGCAGAGAAGCTCATTTGCCCTTCTGGCAGCAAGGCGCTGTGGCCGTACTCTAGTTTCACAATGGTCTTGGACAGTCTTGCCATGCACGTAACGACAGTGCATTTGAACACTCCTGTGAGATGTGAAATAGATCCCACAGGTTGGACATACTTTTTTCTTTAGGTCGGATTGTACAGATGGACAAAAGAAATCGTAAGGCATCTGCTTAAACCCTTCTAGAGGAGGTGACAGATTAACGGACAACCTTACAAGAAGTGGCGAAAACTTGGATTTTCCTTTGTCTAACAAACTGGGTACTACGAGCTTGCTTGGGGTTTGAAGTATTGGGCAAGGTGGCGGCATGAAAGTATCCGTAAACACAGATTTCAATGCACTTCTCGGTGGTGAACAGCAGGATTCATCTGCGCATTTTATAACCTGTAAGAAATATTGCGATTCACGGACGTGAACGCTATACCACGCCAGATTTGGTTCTGCTGGATCCTGCATGCTATCTTCGGGCTGTCTATACTCCGCCGAAACGTCATAATTATCAATTTTCATTTCTCTCCACACTTCTGCAAGTGTTTCCCCAGCGTGCTGAAAATTGCGTTTTTCCAAATCATCATCCGTAGTCATTCCTTTGTCGTCGAGATGAGAACCAAAATGTTCATGAGGCAAAATGACGCCTGCCAGTCGTTTGCTGAGGGGAGCCATGCGACGCTCAACTCGGTTATATGCGCTCCGCCCAGGAGCATTAGTCGCTATAAACAGGGCGTCCAGGTTGTATTTTTTAAAGTGTTCAATCGCAAAGTTCTTGACTTTGCGATAACGCGGGTTTTCGTCCGGCCCACCATCTACAAAGATGATGATTACTGGCTTCACGGTGTTCGATTCTGTCATCATTAAGGATTTGAATGAAGGTATTGATAAAAGTGATTCGAAATCATAAGCGTGGGTGTTCGCTGTGGAGGATGAGTGTTTCCCGCTCCTTATGGATATGTGTGTCGGCCCGCTGTACCCAACAGCTTCTTCCCTACCGAAATTGTTAGGTTCTACGTTGACGCCGGCGTATACAGAAGGAATAAGTTTGTGCCGCTCTGCCACGACCCAGTCATGATCAGGTAAAAGTATTCTGTATTCCATATGCATTAAAAGAGGGCTCTGACTTTTTACTGCCGGTAAACCTATCGGTACACGTGCCTTATCGTCTTGTGAGAGAACGAATACTTGCTGCGGTCCCAGAAGCGAAGCGAGAGATTCCAATGACCTGATTGTAGCAGTGCAAAATTCCCCGTCCTCATGTTTTTTGTGCATCTCGGTCTGTGGTCTTGCTAACTTTACGGGTACAGTACGTACGTGTCTTCTTCCCTCTTGTGTGTTAGAAACGCGTGGGAGTAAATGAAGATATGTGCCGCTTCGAGAAATTTGGAATCCCATTAACAACAGCCTTTCATGCAGGTCGGACAGAGTGAGACAACTCCTAATCATCTCTGTTCGGCGGCGTTCATCAGCAGCGCTGCCATGAATGGCAATATTAATTATGGTCTCTAGGAGAGCAGGTTGCGAGTCAACTAAAGAGGGCTGTCCAGGGCCAGTTCGAGGTTGTGCTGCAGCAGGATTGTTTCTCTGACGTTCAGTTTTCTCCAGTTTTTCTTTGGCTCGAAATTTTTTTGCACGCTTAGCAGAGTCTCTTTTTTTCTTCAAACATTTCTCTTCTTCTTTCAACTCTTTGCGTAGCTTTTTTATTTCGTCATGAACATCATCTTTGGCTATACCAGTGTCCCTTGCTTCAGTGAGAACATTTATTTTTTGTTGCAGTAGACCAATTTTCTTCATAAGAGTTTCTTGAGCCGGTTTGCTTGGAACATTTTTAGTGATGACCGAATCAACCAAAGTCTTGTCTGGTTCCGTAGACGATGTCTCCACAGTTTCCCCATCAGTATTCTGACTTTGCTCCTCGTGGATATCGCTCATCTTTCGTTTGACGGCAGTGCTTTCATGTCCAGCGACTGCGACAATCGATTCCATGAGAGATGAACACGTGGATGAAGCTACAACATTCGAATCCTATAGACCAAGAGAAAATTAATTAAGAATAGGTATTATTGACACATGCGATAAAAAAGAACATGATATACAACACATATAAGCAGATGCACCTGTTTTTGTTGAGGAGCACGCGAAGTCGAGGGAGCATTGGGCCATAGTGTTGCTGGCGTGCTTGATGTTTGCATAGGTAGCTAGAAATATAAAATACTTATGACCAGTTCTTTTATGAAAAATCAAGGTTTGGACTAAATATAATACCTATGTCATTATTACATTTTAGTAGTAAACTTACTTGTGTAAAATAACTAAGCATTGTTGCTTTCTTCTGCGTGGCCTTCACCTTCAACTCTCGTATAACATCATTTATATGTTCTATAAACTTTTCTTTGTTTTTTAGTTTTTCTTTAGCCGTTTTCCAAATTTCATTGGCATTTTTTTGACATACTTGCGCTGGCAAGTCAGCATGAGAGCCTTTATAGGCCAAGAACAGCTGATGATACAAATCTCCTTCTTTTGAGGACATTACAGTATGAACACTATGAACTCACTTTAAAACAGCGACTACAGCAATTTGCTTCTGCATAAACACTAACGAATACTGACAACAAAAACAACATTAAATGACGTACAATACAATCTAGGGATTCCCCGTGAAATATAAACGAAAAGGTTTACCAACATGCGAGAACAAATTAAAAATGGCGACCAGACTAATACAATCGAGAGATCGAAAACGTAAACGAAAAGGGTTGCCAATTTGGGAGTTTTATTTCCCTATTTTTTTATATAAAAAAAGAAATAATGTTACGTAACGTGTTGTAAGAAGGACCCCCTCCCGCCCGTGTAACGCATCGTAACGTTTTACGAGACCCCCCCGCCCCCCCAAATTGCGTTACGTAATACTTGAACGCTCCCTTGGGATGGAAGGTTCACAATTATTATGAAGAAAGTCATTGTGTACATACACACAATGTAAGCCTTTGAATAAAAACTATAGTCTACACTTCAGCTCTACACCGAAGCGAAGCGAGGGCGGGCCGCTAGTAAATAAATAAAGAATGTTCTCGTAGAAACGGATAATACGTTAGAGAGTGTCGAATGGTCGGCCGGCAACACATCAGTCGCGAATCTAGCATAAATAATAATTAATGCTGATCCATCGCTCGGATCGCTCGTATTATATCACTGCGCGCGCATCGTTGCATTTCTCTTTAGAGTGAATGCACTCTCGCGGCGTGTTACGTAAGCACTCTTGCGCACAAGCAATCATACGCAGCGCAGCGCGTATTTACGTCTGTGTGTGTGTGTGTTTGTATGTGTGAGTTTGCGACGTTTTTTGATACAGAATACTACAAAACGATCGCGATCATTATCGTAACATAGTTACTGTAATTGTAATTAAAAGATTGTCAGCTAACGTGGAGCGTTGTATGAAAGTAAAATTTTAATGGGTTTTGCGTAGATCTTAGAATTTCATACAGCGTCTTTTGTGTGGCAGATAATTTGTTTATCCCAGTTTTAATAGATATGAGATTACCTTCTTCACCTTTCTCACTGCACCAATAACTCTTACCAGAGCCGGACCGTGAGGTAGGGGGGCCCTGGGCTAATACTATTTAGGGGCCCACCTCAAAGTATAGAAAAAAATGAGACAGTCAAAAAAATATATTATATTATATTATACCTTAGTATTATACTACTGTTAATAAATTGACAAATTACAAAGCAACCTTTCTGCAAAATGCATACATGGCAAATTCTTTAATTTGCTCCTCACATTCTAGGGGTAATATAAATAAATAAATAAATATTTCCAACACACACACCAATTAGCCTAGCCCCAAAGTAAGCACTATAAGGCTTGTGTTATGGAATACTAGGGTAACGGATAGAATACATATACTGTACATATATAAGTATATTTATTTAGAAATACATATTGAACATCCATGACTGGAGTACAAATGCACGTATTCATCACACAAACATCTGCCCCCACCGGGATTCGAACCCGGGACCCCTCGAGTCGGCAACGCCATGAAACCCGGCGTACAAACCACTCGGCCACGGAGGTCGTCATATAAATGAGGTTACATTCAACAATGTATTTTTTCTACATTGAATGTACTTCTAATCATTGAATCTACTGCTTTAAAGAAAATAATATTAATTTTCTTTCTTTAGTGAATCACTAGTTCAACTTTAGACATCTATTTTGAAAATATTATATCTGCTATGGAAATTTAGCGATGTTTGCCTGTCTGAATTTCCGATCTGTTTACTTTAATAAAAGTATGGATTCTTTCGCAATATCGTCTATTTTTGGCTTTGACTTGACTTAGCTGGGGGCCCCTTGAATCCACGGGGCCCTGGGCTGTAGCCCAAAAAGCCATATGGTAGATCCGCCTCTGACTCTTACCTTACCGACCTGCGTTCTCAAACCCAAATTTAGGCGGCCGGCGAAGCGCAGGTCACTCGCCCGACACCGTTAACACTCAAACCCAGTTTTCTTTTTTTTATTTATTTTTGTTTATCATTTTACTTCTATTGCGAACTATTTTACACTAGTAAAAAGCTCAGTTATTTAAAAAAAAACCAAATTTAGGCATTCAATTAACACTGTCAATAATCTACGCCATCGGTTCACAATTCTACGGCGCGGAAGACTTTGTATTTTGTGAAGAATCAGCAGAAACACAGCAAGGACTTTTCATTTCTTCTTATTTGTTTCATACAGTTTCATCGAACGCAAGGTGAAATTAAAATACCAATATGAAATGAAAATCTAAAGATAATATAACTAGAAAAAAATCCACGGGGACCAGGCAGCAGACGGGACTCGAACCCGCACACCTCGCAGTTCGCAGATTTTTTTCTAGTTATATTTTGTTTAGATTTAAACATCAAGCAGTTACATGCTTTAAAAAAAAAATAACACAAAATGTGCGGGTTCGAGTCCCGTCTGCTGCCTGGTCCGCGTGGAATTTTTCCTAGTTATATTTTCTTTAGATTTAAACATCAAGCAGTTACATGCTTTAAAAAAAATAAAAAAAAAATATAATGAAATGAAAAGTCATTTATTCAGTCTAGGCTGTTACAAGCACTTGTGAAGGTGAAAAAGCTACGCCATCGGTTCGCAAAACTACGGCGGGAGACCTTGTACTGAGAAGAACCGGCAAGAAACTCAGCAAGGGCTGTTTTTTTAATAAAAATAAAATAAAAACACGCATTGAATTTAACTTCTATCAGACACACCCTGTTCTCTAATCTACTGGGCCTTTCTCATGGTGATGAATACAACAATTTAATAAGAGAGTATTTAGAATAACCACCACTATGATACAATGACAATCTGTAACTGCAAAATAAAAGTTAGCAAATGGCTGAAAGGTATGAATTACGAAGAGACGGAGTGTTTAGTAAATAATTAGAATACTTTATTGTGTAATTAAATACGGCAGCAGTTAGTTATTGACGGTTTCTGTAATTTTGATAACTAGTTTATCTTAATATATATAAATCTCGTGTCACAATGTTTGTCCTCAATGGACTCCTAAACCACTTAACCGATTATAATAAAATTCGCACACCATGTGCAGTTCGATCCAACTTGAGAGATAGGATAGTTTAAATCTTAAATTATAGTCGCAATTTTAATTTATTGCAAATTATTACTTTTGGGCGGTACGAAGTTCGCCGAGTCAGCTAGTAATATATATAAATCTCGTGTCACAATGTTTGTCCTCAATGGACTCCTAAACCACTAAACCGATTATAATAAAATTCGCACACCATGTGCAGTTCGATCCAACTTGAGAGATAGGATAGTTTAAATCTCAAATTATAGTCGCAATTTTAATTTATTGCAAATTATTACTTTTGGGCGGTACGAAGTTCGCCGAGTCAGCTAGTATATCTATATAAGTTAATCATACAACCAATGTGCGTACACCTAAATCGGCCACAGTATTTATGTACATAGAGGGGACCCTGTTGCCTGTAATACAGGTTATCCTGCCTCTGGCAACAGAAGTCAACTTTAACAATATTTAAGCTCCAATGTGCCTCTTGTCACCAATTTTTGTATTATTAATTTAAAAATATTATTTATTGTAACTTGCTTAAAGTCAATAAAAGTTTATTATTATTATTAATGACATATTTAGCTATCTGGCATCTTAATAACAATCTCTGGATACTTTATCGGCATCTTTTATCATCATCAGCCTATTAATGTCCTCACTGCTGGGGCACAGAGCTTCCCTATGGATGGAATAGGGAGATTGGGCCATGACCCACCACCCAGTGCGGATTGGCGGGTGCTAACGAATGCAGATGCAGCCGGGACCAACGGCTTAACGTGCCTTCCGAAGCACGGAGCGACTCAAGATAGAAGATTTTTGGTCACCCATCCAATGACCGACCACTGCGAAAGTTGCTTAACTTCAAAGATCGCAGCCGAACGCGCTAACCACTTGCGCCATCGAGCTCCTTTATCATCGGCATCTTTTATACAAGCAAGTTACCCCACTTCAACTGGTGTCAAGTGTCGCTCTAGCCTTCATCCCCTACCCCATATAAAAGGGCCTGACATAAATAAATAAATATATTACATTCGTACCTCCCACAGTCCTTTTTGCTGCTATAAGGTAGCAAATGAAATAAAAGATTAAAAGTAATTTGCAATTACTTTCGATCTGAAGGAAGAATTTCCCAGATTGCTAGTTATTATTATTATTTTTTGTATCAATTTGACATTACATTATTATTTTTTGCATCAATTTGACATACATTTATAATTTTAAATCAAACATCTCTTATCTATTAGACAAGTCCGTCCGTCTGTCTGTCTGTGGTGCTGTTTCAGCGGCCAAACCGTAAGAGATAGATAAAGAGAATATTTAAGTTATAAGTTAAGAATAGTCCGATAAGACTACAAACCGGATTTGAGTAACGTAGCACTTCCGGTTTTCGAGAAATCACGAATTTCAAACGAAACAACACAAAATCTCCGAAGTTCTCAATTAATTAAATACATTTTTTTTTAATCAGGTTTTGGTGAACATTGGGTTCACTGGTTTGCTAGTTGATTATTAATTTCACTATTTTGTATTGATTATTCATTGATTATTGATTATTAATTCCATTTATTATTATTGATTATTAATTACATTGTACTTTTCTGAATTAAATGTTGTGTGTGCTTGTAAAGGCTTGCATATATGTCTTAGAATAAGTATTATTTAATTTTTTTAATGTTTTTATATGTTTAGCTGTAAGTACACCTATTAAATAAATAAATAATTGCTGTGTTGTCCGTCTCTCCTGCATACGAATTATGCTTTTGAATTATGTTTGCATTGGTGTAATTATTTCATATGCATATGTAATAAATATACAGGATGCTCCAATTAGTGACGTCAACAATTTAAATTGAAATTGAATGTTTGAGTAAATCATACTAAAAACTAAAGTTCCAACTTTCAAGCCTCTTTTGAGTAATTTTAAGTAATTTCAAGAAGCTGAGTTATTTTTTTTATTAAAACAACATTCAAGACTATTATATATTCAATTATGTCACAAAAAAAGACTGCAAAATACCTACTACGAAAAAAGATATGAATTTTTGAAACCTCGCTGGCAGAATCATTAAAAATACACAAAAAATATAATAACTCAAAAACTAAGAAAAATCGCGGAACATACATGGGGTATTTACGGATACCCCCAGGTGCGAGGAATCTAAAAAAAATTGTTGACGTCACTAATTGGACCACCCTGTATATAAATAATTATAAATGTAAAGTCGTGCTTTGTGGAATGATACAAATAGACAAACTT